TTGGGCTGAATGGCCTGTTTCCACACTGTAGGGATTCTATGAACAGCAGAATCACAAAATTGTTACAGTACAGAAGGAAGCCATTCAGCCCATCAGTGGTTGTAGGAAGGTGAGACTAGAATGGGGCTGTTCTTTGGTGACCTCATACGATAATACCTGTGTCCGAACTGCAGGGTTTTAGTCTCGAATCTGGCTCCACGTTCAGCCTCCCCCCCAAATGTGGCAAGGAGGAGGGGCAGATGAAAAATCCAAGATGGCGGTTTTAAAAATCCCGCCAAAGAGAGAATCGAACGGATTCGCGTGCTCGCTCAGGATCCGGGCCTAGCTTAGCCCAGCCTCCCACATTCCCCACAGGGAGAGGGGTGTTGTTCACCCGGGAGGCCTCTGGGGCTTGGGAACCACCAGTGGGCCCCAAGCACCCACGTTAACAATAACCACCGGTGAGACCGGCATGTGCGAGATGAAAGACTCGCAGAACAGTTCAGAAAGAGAGTTGACGACCCTCTTTGCCATTTTTGCTGGGCCTCTGCTTCTCTCAAATTTCCCAACACCTTTCAGTTCCGAAGGAGAGTCGTCCCAGACTCGAAACTTTAACACTCGTTTGTCTCGCCCCACAGATGCTGCCAGACCAGCCGAGTTTCTCCAGCATTCTCTGTGCTTGTTTCAGATATAAAATAAAGCCTGTCAAAAAAATAAATACTGGAACGAATAAACAGACTGACAGAAACCAGTTCCAGCCCTGGAGTAGAAATATCGAATGACGTTGAATAAGCATCAAATACTGCAACATTGATGTGCCGTTAAGTGTCAGGTTCAGTCAAAATCAACCAGATAGATTATGAGGACACTCCTCGAGGAGAGACAGCAACAGAAAATGCATCATGTAAGAACTAATACACAGGACATCGTTGCGCACAGTCAACTTTCCTGGTTAGCTCACCAACATGAAGACAGGAAAGTGCGCTCAATACTGCACTGTGCTTATATTGGAGGTAGTAACCTGACTAGGTCTCAGGCTCAAGTTTATATCCACACACTTCTGAAATGGAAAAGGGATGTGAAATGTTTGTATTTTTAAACACACAAATATTCATTTCTCTCCCCACACCTGCCCTTCACTAGTGTTGCCAACTCTCCAGGATTGGTCTGGACGACAGAGATTAATCTCCAGGACACTGCTGCGAGCAAAACAGGTGGTGAAAATGTCACAAAAAAAATTTGCCCTTCATCATTTCAGAAGGCATTTGTTTATTCATCACAATAATATTGGAGATAGTATGTTGGGAAGTGTGGGGGTTGACAATTTTGGAGGTCACGCCCAGGAATATCTGCAACTAGAGTTGGTAACTCATTCCCAGCAGCAGCCCCTTCACAAAACCACCATAACCTGCTAGAGAGTCATAGAGTCATACAGCACAGAATCAGACCTCGTAGTCCAACCAGTCCATCCGACCATAATGCCAAACTAAACTAGTTCCATCTGCCTGCACTTGGCCCATATCCCTCCAAACATTTCTTATTCGAGTACTTATCCAAATGGCTTCTAAACATTGTAACTGTACCTGCATCCACCACTTTGTCTGGAAGTTCATTCCAGACGCAAACCACCCTGTGTTTAAAAAAGTTGCCTCTCGTCTTTTTTAAACCTTTCTCCTCTCATCTTAAAAATATGCCCTCTTGAGTTGAAATCCTCCATCCTAGGGGAAAGACACCTGCCATTCACCTTATCTATTGCCCCGCATGATTTTATAAACCTCAATAAGATCACCCCTCAACCTCCTATGCGCCATGAAAAAAGTCCCAGCCTCTCCTTATGACTCAAACACTCCATTCCCGTCAACATCCTGGTAAAACTCTTCTGAACCCTCTCCAGCTTAATAATATTCTGCCTATAACAGGGCGACCAACTAATTAATGAGAAATGAGCAATGTCATGAGAACACTATCACTTTTCCTAGTTTCCCATCAAACACATAGTGAGTCCAACATCGCTGGTCGCTATCCTAGAGTTGCAATTAACCATTACTATTGGTGAAATGGATTGAGCTCTGTCTGAGGGCAAGAGTTGAGAGGTTTTTAATTCATCAGCAGTGAAGCAGATCCTCCCACCCTCCCCAGCCTTACTGAGTTCCCCCATGTAAGAACCTCGCTGACAGATGAACAATCAGCTCTATGGTGTGTTGTACCCTGATCACTGCTAAGCCCTGAAGAAAAAGTTGGCCAGACTCAGAGGTCAGGTTGCCAACAGTGGTTGGATGTATTGTTGGGGGTTTGATCTCCAACCTTCAACCTTCCCGCCTCAACCCCCTCACAGTTTAACCCACCCATCATGGAGACTAAGAGCCATTCTGTCATCAAGTTAAAAGTAAATGAACTCCTCATTGCCTGATTGAATGACCTTTGACCAACATCCCTTCTAATATTATGGTTGTTGTGCGTGTCTTAAAGGGGACACAGCACTTGATTGTAACTCGGTCTGTTTTGTTTTTGTCTCCATTATTTTTGTAACTAGAAGCTGTTCAAGGAGATTTTGTCTGCAGAATGGTTGCAGCATAGAAAGAGGTCATTCATTCCTATACTGGCCCTCTAAGGCACAATTCACTAAGTGCCACTCTCTTGATTTCTTCCTGTAAACATGCACATTCTGCCTTTTCAGAACATAGTTCAGTTATCCTTTGAAAGCCTTGACTGAATCTGCCTCCACTGTTTTGGTAGGTATGAGCTCACTAGACCAAATGGCAGAGTAGGAGGCTCCAGCCAGCGCTTGTTCACTCCACCCGTTCTTCTTCTTCTTTTCTTCTCTATTTTTTCCTCTTCGTGTTTTTTTTTTCCCCTTCTCTCCTGGCATCTGATGACCTCCCCACACTCCGGTGACGACTCCCAGCCAGGTGCAGTGGCCTCCTGTGGCAACTTCCTGACATGGCGTTGTGACCTCCCAGCCTGGCGAAGCGACCTCCTGTAGCAGCCTCCCAGCGTGGCATGGCAACCTACTGGCATCATGTAGCGTCCACCCGCCTATTGTAGCGGCCTGCCAGCGTGGCATTCTCAGCCAGGCTTGGCAGTCTGAAACAATCTCCCAGCCTTATGATCCTCAAGGTGAAGCCTGGCACAGTGTGGTGCCAGGGCCCAGTTTGGACTGGAAGCTCGGTGAAAGCATGGTCTGGGTTGGAAGACCGTTGTTCTGAACTTTTATTTCTGCAACACTGGACATCTTATTTCTCTATTTTCTAAGATCTTGTAACTAAAGAAGCTGTACCTAGGTATCTTTGTACCTAAGATGGCGCTGTAAGTGGTGATGTATAAACTTTTCACTATACTCATTGAGTATATGTGACAATAAAGATAGTTCATTCATACTTATGACTCTGTAATTCCATGACTCTCTCAGGATGCACATTCCAGATCCTAACCACCCTCTGTGTGAAACTGTTACTCCTCATTTCTGCTAATTACCCAAAAGTGATGCCTTCTGATTCTTGATCCTTACCCTAATGGAAATGGTTTCTCCCGATCTACGCTGTCTGTATCTCTCATGATTTTGAACAGCTCAATCAAATCCACTTTCAACTTTCTCCAAGGAAAACAGTTCTCCAAAACTTCTCCAATCCATATTCATAACTGAAGCTTCTCATCTTTGGAACCATTCTCATGAATCTTTCCTGTACTCGCTCCAGTGACTTCCCATCCTTCCTAAAGTGTGGTGCCCACAGCTGGACACAATAGTCCAGTTGAGGCTGAACCAGTGTTTTATACCAAGTTTAACATAACGCCTAATACAAAAGCAAAATACTGCAGATGCTGGAAATCTGAATAGCATTAACATTTCACATTCTGAAGATAGGTCACCTCAACCAGAAAGGTTAAGACTATTTCTTTACCAAGCATTTCCAGCTTTTTTTTTGTTGTTTTTCTATGTTCTTTAACATAGCTTCCTTGATTTTGCACTCGATACCCCTGCTGATAAAGCCAAACATGTCTTCTGCTTTTTTAGCCATCATCTTCAATAACTTACACACATATACCCCCAGGTTCCCTTGAGTCATATTGCATATTTTATATTGTCTGTCCACATTGTTCTTACATGAATCACCTCATACTTTTCCAAATTGAACTTAATCTGTCATCTCAATGCCCAACCTGTTTGTATCTTTTTGAAGTACTACACTGCCCTCTTTACAGTTCAAGTCCTGTATTGTCTGTAAATGTTGAACTTGCGTCCCATATTCCAAAGGCTAAGTTATTGATATATCAGGAGCACTGATCCCTGGGGAACTCCACTGAAAACTTTCAACCAGCCCAAAGAACATCCATTACTCATTACTAACTGTTTCCTGTCACTTGGCCAATTTCATATCCGGGTTGCTACTGTCCCTCTTACTGCATGAACGCTAATTTTCCTGCTAGGTCTGTTACATGGCACTATATCTAATGTCTTTTGGACGTCTATATGCACCACTGCAGCATTCACTTCTGGCCACCACGCCAGCTTGGCTGGGTTCAGGCTCCTTGCTGGCGTGAACCATTGGGAACATGTGGAGGGTCTGGAACATGAGCGACCTGCTTCCCTTCCTGGCCCACTTCATTACCCTCATCAACCCTTCCGTATCAAAAAACTCCAATGATTTACTTAAACACAATTTGTCATTAATTAATCATGCTGACTTTCTTTAATTAAGCTGCATTTGCCCGGGTATCTCAGAATGTTTTGTCCCAAATTACTGTTCCTGTGGTTCAATGTCCCAATGATTTGGCCCTCTTCCTGCACAGTAGTGTTGATGAGATTAGCCTTCAATTTCTGGAGGCCCCTGGGAAGTCTGGAGGTTGGCAACTCTGTTTGGAAGGACAGGTACTCATGCCCTCCCTTACATGTTCTTCCCAAATCCCCCCCTCACCCCCCCCCCCCCCCAGCGCTTCTGTCCCACATTCCTGTAACAACATTGCTTGATTTTGAGTGGGGACGGAGTGTGGTTGGCAAGATGGACCCTGTTTTGCTCTGGGGCTCAGGACCGGCTGTAAGTCGCGTTGATCATGATGTTGGGGAGTGCGTTACGTCTTTTACGCCAGGAGCCCAGATCCCGCGAATAGCGCTTGATCAGCCTGAACCAGTGACGGGTCCGGTGCCTGTCGGCGTCGCGGAAGACGAACGCCTCCTTTCGGATGTCCAGCAGCTCGAATGTGTCATCACAGTCTGGGTCCGAGGACACCACGCAGTGGCTGAGATGGATGGGGTGGCGGAACAGGGAAAACTTGCCGCCGCTCTTGTCCCTGATCAGCACCAGCGCAGCGTCCCGCACCGGCGGGTCCCACCTGCCCCCAGCCACCACGCCGTCTTGGCTGGGCTCCGACTCCCGGCCCACGTTGACCATCAGAAGCACCTGGAGAGTCTGGAACTTGAGTGCCCTGCTTCCCTTCTTGGCCCACTGGCCATCGCTGGGCTGAGAGGACTGCAGTGCACCCTCCATTGGGAAGCGGGTATCCTCCCGCGACCAGCCCAGCGCCTTGATGGCGATCTCCCTCATCTCAATGTTGACTACCTCACGGTTACGCCGGCTGTCCCGACGGAAGGAACGCAGCGACCAGGGTGGGGCGGCCTCCTGCTTGGTCTTCATGTTGATGTGCTCCAGGTGGGACTCCACCCTGCTCTTGGCCTCCCGCAGGCTGCAGTGGTCTGGGTGGTACTCTGGCGTGGAGTTACTGATCCGGCTAAGGAGGAGGGGATACTTGGTGACCCGTTGCAGTGGAGCCATCAGGAATGATCTCAGATTCATCCGACGCAGTGCAGTGTTGTCATTCTGCGACACGTCCAGGAAGATCCTGGAAGTAAGCCAAAGAATACTTGGTTAACTGAGAGCAAATTTCTTCCAAGATCACTGACTGCCGTTGGAGGCAGTTCAGACAAGGTGGAGGCAGCTGATACCAGACATGGAGGGACTTTCTTGTGAGGAAAGTTTGGGTAGGTTTTGTCTGTACTCAGTGGAATACGGAAGAATGAAAGGCAAGTGATGACCTCATTGAAAAATGCAAAGTTTGTAGGCAACTTGACAGGGTAGATGCTGAAAGGCTGTTTTCCCTTGTGGGCGTGTCTAGGTCCGGAAGGATTGATCTCAGAGTAAAGGGTCGGGCATTTATGACAGAGATGAGGAATTTCTTCTCTTGAGGGTAGTGATTCTGTGGAATTCTTTACCGCACAGGGCTATCAAAGCTGGGTCTTTAAGTAGATATTCAAGGCTGAGATTTACAGATTTGTAGTCAGTAAGAGAATCAAGGGAAAGGGCAGGAAAGTGGAGTTGAGGATTATCACATCTGATCTCATTGAATAGCTTACTGCTTGGGGCAGCATAATGGCTCAGTGGTTAGCACTGCTGCCTCACAGCACCAGGGACCTGGGTTCGATTCCACCCTCGGGTGACTGTCTGTGTGGAGTTTGCACATTCTCCCTGTGTCTGCATGGGTTTCCTCCGGGTGCTCCGGTTTCCTCCCACAGTCCAAAGATGTGCAGGTTAGGTGCATTGGCCATGCTAAATTGCCCGTTGTGTTCTGGGATGTGTAGATTAGGTGGGTTATAGGGGGATGGGTTTGGGCAGGGTGCTCCAAGTGTCAGTGTGGACTTGTTGGGCCGAAGGGCCTGTTTCTACACTGTAGGGATTCTATGATTTCTCTGTGAATAGGAAGGGTTTAGAAGAATATGGGCCAAATGCTGGCAAATGGGACTAGATTAATTCAGGATATCTGGTTGGCATGGATGAGTTGGACCGAAGGGTCTGTTTCTGTGCTGTACAACTCTATGATTCTAAGCGTTCTCTCTGAAGTGAGTTCAAGCAACCAAGAATGGCAATTATGTTTTTCTCTCACATTTCATACGAGACAAGCCTGTAGTGAAATGAATGTGAAATCTGCTTATCTTCTTCAAGACTGACTAGAAGACTTCTTGAGACTGTGTTTCTTGAGCAATGCACAGAGACAACTGGCACCCATCCACACATGCTAGAAAGTCAGACCAACAACTATCTCTGAACATCTCAAACTTATCCTGTTTGCCTTCAAGTACTAAGGCTTATTGGCCAAAGGTGTTTTACTTGTCAAGTTAATTTCTACAGAAATAAACCTTTTTATCTCTTTGCCCTGGTGTTTCTTTTATGCTGCTATTGCCATTATGCTGGCCGGGTCAGCATTTATTCCTCGTCCCTAGCTACCCTAAGGAAAGTGTGGAACTGTCTCTTTGAACTGCTGCAGTACATTTGGTGTTAGTACCACCACAATGCTGTTAGGGAAGAAGATCCAAGATTTTGATCCAGCGACATTGAAGACACAGTGATATATCTACAAGGTTGGATGGGGAGTGGTTTGGAGGGGACCATGCAAATGGTGGTGTTCCCATGTATCTGCCACATGTCCTTATAAATGGCATTAGTCATGGATTGGGAAGATACTGTCTAAGGAGCATTGCTGCAGTGCATATTGCTGATGGTACACACTGCTGCTACTGAGTGTCGGTGGTGGAGGGAGTTAATGTTTATGGATGTGGTGCCAATCAAGTGGGCTTCTTTGCTCTGGATGGTGTCGAGCTTCTTGAGTATTGTTGGAGCTGCACCCATCCAGGCATATAGGGAGTAATTCATCAGATTTCAGAATTGTGTCTTGTAGACCGTGTACACATTTTGAGGAGTCAGGAGGTGAGTTACTTTTTGCAGTATTCCTATTCTGTGACCAGCTCTTGTAGCTACTGTACATAGAACATATTTACATGGTTTGTTCAATTCAGTTTCATCCCCCAGGATGCTGATCATTGAGGATTCAGCAATGATAATGTCATTGAACATCAAGGGGGTGATGGTTAGATTCTCTTTTATCATTGCATGGCACTTGTGAATGTTACTTCCCACTTGTCAGCTCAGACCTGTATAATTTTGTTATATTTAAACATGGACTGTTTAAGCATCTGAGGAGTTGTGAATGATGCTGAACATTGTGCGATCATTAGCGAACGATTGACCATCTGATGGAGGGAAGGTCATCGATGAAGCAGCTGAAGATGGTTGGGCATAGGACACTATCCTGATGATAGGGCCATCACACTCACCTCACCTCTGGAATTCAGCTCTTTTATCCATGTTTGAACTATGGCTGTACTGGGGTCCAGAGGTGTGTAGCCCTGACAGATTCAAGAACAGCTTCTTCCCTGCTGTTATCAGATTCATGAATGGACCTCTCATATATATTAGAATTGATCTTTCCCTGCTCCTTCTCTGTAGCTGTAACACTATATTCTGCATTCTGTTCTATTTCCCTGATGTACTTATGCAAGGTATGATTTGTCTGGTTGGCACACAAAACAATGCATTTCACTGTATCTTGGTACATGTGACAACAATAATAATTCAAATCAAATCAAATCCCAAACTGGGTGTCACTGAGCAGGTTATTGCTGAGCATAGGCCACTTGATGGAACTGTTGATGACAGCTTCCATCATTTTACTGATGATTGGCTAGTTTGATTTGTCCTGTGCTTTTGTGTACAGGGTAATTTTCCATATTTTTGGATAGATGCTAGTGTTGTAGCTTGTTTGTGTGTGTACGTGTGTGTGTTTGGGGCTATTTAGAGGTGTAAATATTTATATTTTCATATATAAACTGAGTGTGTTCATCAGTGTTGCACTTTCTTCCAGCAAGACCTGTTTTATGATAAATTAATAATTTTGTGTTGATTAAATAAACTTGGTTGACAGATTTTTTAAATTTAAACATTAGACAAAACAAAGTTTGATGTTGTGACCTGTGGAGCACTGGAACTAGAGAAAATCGGTCCACTCTTCCCATCTTAGTGACAACACAGCTCACTGACTAGTGTAATAAGTTATATTTGAAGTGAGACTGGACAGGACAAAGCTGAGAAAAGTTCACAAGAAAATTGAACGATGGAGCAACTCATTCTTTAACCCTTATTCAGAGTTTTTATTTAGTCGGGGATTTGTGAGGAAGAATTAGAGCCATACCTTTCAGGAGTGAAATTAGGAAAGAATTCTTCATACAAAGGCTGATAGAAATTCAGAACTCTCTTCTGCAAATGGCAATTGATGATAGATCAATCGATAATTTACACCTGAAGTTGTTAGATCTTTATTAAGCAGGAGTATACCTGTGTGGTATTAGATTGCAGATCAGACATGATCTCAATGAACAGCAGAAAGGGTTTAAGGGGTACTGTAAATCATGGTGTAATTAATTCGATCCGGTGTATAGTGTTGTGGCGGTGATGTCGGTAACGGATTTGTTCAGTGTGATCCAGAGCTCCCTGTCCGCGGACCAGGATGTGAGGGAGGTGAGTAGGTTTCCATGACAGCGGAGGGAGGATGAGGGACAGTGGAGGGAGAAGGTGAAGGGAGGCGGAGTAGCACCAAGCTGGCAGCTGATTGGAAAACTCTGCAGCCAATGAGAGGCGGCTCATTGTGGGCACAGCAAGATGCCGCAGAGGACGGAGGCATTGAAGGACAGGGACTGGCACTTGGGGAAAATTGACCCACCCCACCGTTGGTAGTTGGGGCCTAGGGATATTTCATCTCCCCGTGAGGCGGGTCCCTGGTTTAACAACTCACCTGAAAGGTGGCCCCTTCGGTAGTGCAGCACTCCCTCGCCACTGTATCGGCGTTGATCTGTCATCAAGGTTTGAACCCACATACCTGTGTGTTAAACTGTCTTGCTACTTTTCCTAGCGAATGCACCTCAGGTTAAATTTGCTTTCGTTGCAGGTTTTAAAAAAAACACAGCAGAGCTGTCAAATGATATATGCAAGTCTGACCCATATACTTCAAAATGGAGGTCCATCATGACCAGTGCATTAATTTCCAAGTGCTGGTTTTCTAATGCTTTTTCCCCCTGGGTGACTATCCCTGCTTGTTCTGGAGAAGTGAGCTGCCTTCTGAACCACTGCAGTTCTTGGAGTGCAGCAGCGCGTGCACATACAGACAGAGACAGACTTACTCACATGCACAGACACACATTCGGATGCGATTGCCAGGATTCTGACCTAGCGGCACAGAAGGGACAGCCAAGACTGCTCCAAGTCAGTGTGACGTGAAAGGGGACTTCTCAGTTCAAGGCAGCCAATGGTACTGCTGACAACGTTGCGCTCGGTACTGCAGTGTAAATATCAGCCTAGAATGTGTACCCAAATCTCTGGAGTGGGACTTGAACCCGTGAATTTCTGAATGAGTTAAAGATCCTACCCACTGAGCCAAGGCTAACATAATGGTGAGATATTAACTTTCCAAAGAGATTGAAAAGGGGAGGAAGGAAGTTTGAAATTATATTAACTAACAGGGGATGGCCACAGGGGGATTCTTACACTGCTTCCTCATTTCTACGAGTCTTCCTGGTGGTCACCCAACACTCTTCCGTCTGTCGGGCCCTTATTCGTGGCATGACCAGCTCGCTAAATCTGCTATCCGCAATGTCGTCAGCATCACGGATGCCCATAGTGAGTCCATCTGCAGCTACATCTGGTCAATCAGGAACTGCAGCTTCAACAAATCTCCTGCATGTGTGGTCATCACGGACACTGGAAATTCCCCTGATTTTGACTGAGCCAAATTCTCCTGCAATTGTGAACCTCACCAACTGCAAACAATAAACTGGGAACAAAGTACTTAATCTTACCCACTACTTACCAAATCAGATTTCTTGCTCACTGTCTCTCTCTATTCCTAACAAGCTACAGAAAAAATAAGGATTGTACACTCTTTTCCCTCCCAGTACTATTATTTCATTCCCTAAATCTGGTTCCTAAGCAACCAGTACTCTTGCCTTACAACAAACTTGAATTGAATAAAAATCTGGAATAAAAAGCTAGCCTAATGGCAACAATGTTGATAATGATAAAAACCCATCTGTTTCATTAATTTCCTTTAGGAAATGCAAACAGCTGAACTCCCCCTCATGGGCCTTTAGAGAGGCAAAAATTAATTCGGGATAGTCAGCATGGTTTTGTGCGAGGAGAATTGTGTCTCACAAACTTGATTGATTTTTTTGAGGAAGTTACCAAAACAGTTGATGATGGCAGAGCAGTAGATGTTGTTTGTTTGAATTTTAGTAAGGTCTTTGACAAGGTTCCACATGGTAGACTAATTAGCAAAGTTAGGTCACATGAGATTCAGGGTAAGCTTGCCAATTGGATACATAATTGACTTAACAGCAGGAGGCAGAGAGTAATGGTGGAGGGTTGCTTTTCGGACTGGAGGCCTATGACCAGTGGTGTTCCGTAGGGATTGGTTCTGGGTCCTCGTTTGTTTGTCATTTATATAAATGATTTGGATGAGGATATAGAAGGCATGGTTAGTAAGTTTGCAGATGGCACCAAAATAGATGGCATAGTCGACAGTGAAGAAGGTTTTCTAAGATTACAAAGGGATCTTGATCAAATAGGTCAATGGGCTGAAAAATGGCAGGTGGAGTTCAATCTGGATAAATGTGAGATATTGCATTTTGGTACAACAAACAAGGGTAGGGTTTATACAATTTATGGTAGGGCCTTGGGTAGTGTTGTAGAACAGAGGGACCTAGGGATTCAGGTACATAATTCTTTAAAGTTTGCATCACATACAGACAGGGTGGTTAAAAAGGCATTTGGCGTGCTTGCCTTCATTGCTCAGACCTTTGAGCATAGGAGTTGGGACGTTATTGTTGAGGTTGTACAGGACATTGGTGAGGCCTCTTCTGGAGTAATGTGTCCAGTTCTGGTCACCCAGTTATAGGAAGGGTATTATCAAACTGGAAAGGGTTCAGAAGAGATTTACCAGGATGTTGCCAGGTATGGAAGGTTTGAGTTATAAAGAAAGGATTGATAGGGTGAGACTTTTTCCACTGGAGCGTAGGAGGTTGAGAGGTGACCTGATAGAAGTTTATGAAATAATGAGAGGTATAAATAGAGTTGATGGTACAAAAACCGAAGTTACTGGAAAAGCTTAGCAGGTCTGGCAGCATCTGTGAAGAAAAAATCAGAGTTAACGTTTCGGGTCTGGTGATCCTTCCTCAGAACTCAGAACTGTTCTGAGAAAGGGTCACTGCACCCAAAATGTTAACTCTGACATTTTCTTCACAGATGCTGCCAGATCTGCTCAGCTTTTCCAGCAACTTCTGTTTTTGTTCCTGATTTACAGCATCTGTAGTTCTTTCGTATTTTGTTAGAGTTGATGGTAGTTGTCTTTTCCCTAAAGTGGGGAACTTCAAAACCTGGGGGCACATTTTTAAGGTGAGAGGAGAGAGGTTTAAAAAAGACATGAGGCAATTTTTTTACACAAAGGGTGGTTCGCATGTGGAATGAACCTCCTGAGGAAGTGGTGGATGTGGGTACAATTACAATGTTTAAAAGACATTTGGATGGATACATGAATAGGTAAAGTTTGGAGGGATATGGGCCAAGAGCAGACAGGTGGGTCTAGTTTAGTTTGGGATTATGTTCAGCATGGACTAGTTGGACCCAAGGGTCAGTTTCTGTGCTGCATGACTCTATGATTCCATGTGATTCCAGATCCACAGAAATGGGGTTCAATATGTGTAAGGTTGCTTGATAGGTTGATATTGAGATACAGATTTGATAGATTTCCAATTATCAGTGACCTAAAGTGTTATGGTGATTGTGTGGATAAAAGGCAGTGAGGTGTTCGACCATCATTATTGTAGTAAATGGTGGAGCAGACTCGATGGGCTGAATGGCCTACTCTGCTCTTACGCTTCTCTGTGATTATGATTCTACAAATTGTGAAAAGGTTTGGGGATTTTTACCTGAGGAGTTCCTTCTCTTTCTCCAGTGTGTTCAGCATGTTGATGGAGGTAGACTGATGGATGCAGTAAGTCTGAAATGCTGGCAGCATGTTAACAAACTCAAGGAACATTTCGCCAATGCACACGGTTAAAAAGTCCTCATCATCCTGGCAACACATTGAAAAGAAAGAGCAATTAGAAGATAAATGACAACTTGCATTGATAGAGTGCCATTATAATGGCCAAATGTCTCACATCATTTCGCAGAAGCATTCAACAAAAATCTGACCCCCAGCCACGGGATGGTCTTGGTCAAAAAAGTAGATTTTATGAAGCATCTAAAAGGTCAAATGATATGTAGAGAGGCTTGGGGAGGAGATTCTAGAGCTTTAGGCCTCAGTAACTGAGGGCGTCATTAACGATTGGGCAATCAAATTGGTGAAACCCGAAAATCCTGTATTTGAGGAGTTCAGATAACTCAGGATTGGAGGCAGTTAAAAGGATAGTGAGGCCACGGAGGGAATTAAAATTGAATGTGAGTGTACTAGAGTTAACAAGGTGTGGAGCTGGATGAACACGGCAGGCCAGGCAGCATCAGAGGAGCAGGAAAGCCGACATTTCGGGTCTGGACCCTTCTTCAGAAATCGGAAGAAGGGTCCACACCCAAAACATCAGCTTTCCTGCTCCTCTGATGCTGCCTGGCCTGCTGTGTTCATCCAGCTCCACACCTTGTTATCTTAGACTCCAGCATCGGCAGTTCCTACTATCTCAGAGTACGAGAGTTGATATTTTTGAATAGTTGAGCAGGACTTAGTGCAACAAAGGAGAAAGGCTGCAGTGACTGTATTGAGAGTGCAAGGTGTGATAATATTGACCTTTTCATTTCTGTCCCTCCTCTCCTGACATACAATTTCACCACTCTCCCATGATCTCTAAAAGTAGCCCCATTTCACTTGACAGCCTTTGTTGTGAAAATCCTCAGGCTCTGAATCAATTAAGGCCATGTCCCATTTTCTATTTGTGCCCACAGGCAACACTTCCCAACAGGAATCACTGTTGGGTATTTTGTTCTACCAAGCTTGGAGATCTCCATGATACTTAATAGGATAGTCCCTCTCCGCTGTTTGCATCAACCAAGTCTGTTTGAATGGGAGACCTTCTTTGTACAGTTCAGCATCACAATGAGAGACTCATTTCCCTTAAACACTAATCAGCAGCTTCCTTGGTGTTTTCATAAGATCCTCTTTGATAGATAAATGTTAGTAACCATTGAATGTGAAACTCATGTGGGATTATTGAGACGAATATCATAGATGTGCTTCAGGGGAAGCTGGATAAATACCTGAAGGAAATGCTGGAAATGCACCAGCAGGGACCAGTGAGCTTAATGGCCTATTTCTGTGCTGTAAATACTGTGGTCATCGCAGATTAGATAAAGAGAAAATGCTCCCATTTGTGGGAGGATTGAAAATCAAAGCAGTCAGATATAAGATAATCGGTAAAAGAAACGATGATGACAGGCCGATAAACATTTCCATACGGCCTGTGGTTTGGGTCTGGAATGCACTGCCTGAGAATGTAGTGGAGCCAGGTTCAATCGAAACAAAGGGAATTGGTTATAACCTGAAAATAATGTGCAGGGTTACAAGGTAAAGGCAGGAAGGTGGAACTAGGTTCTTCAAAGAGCCAGCACTAATATAGCAGGTGGAGTGGTCTCCTGTGTTATTACTATTCTATGATTCTATGGTTGGAATTTAATCTCTCTGCTATCTAACCACAGACAGATAAGATGCAGAGGATAGAATTGAAGTTATTGTAACCACGGGACCTATTGAAATTGATCGTTAATTACATTGAGTTACTTTTCCTGATCCCTCCTTAGTGATCTCAGTCTTATCCCCCCAGTCACCAGGCAGTGTGTGAGCAAAGAAGCCTCAGGCTAATAATAGGGAGCTTGGCTGAGGTCAATCTCTGGGCCATTTGGTGTTTACCAATTTCAGCCAGCATTACGGTTTGTGGATTACTTTTTGCCTCATGATTACTTATGTCAAAGATTGGAAGGAAAGGAACCCTGCTTCTAATTGCTATCCAATGGGAGGTGCTTATATGAGGATATTATTTGAGTTCAAGTTCAAATGCGAGGGTCTCTTTCTCTCGGACACTACTTCTAACACTTCCCAGACAATTACAGCGTGGGGTTAGATTCAGAATAAAGCATCCTTCAATCTTTTACACAGAAAATAAAGCTTTCTCTACTCTTAAGCAAAAAGTAAAGATCTCCCTACACTTTTGAACAAAAAGTAAAGTTCTTTCTATTCCTTTAAAAAAAAGTAAAGCTCTCTCTACTCTTTTAAACTGAAAGTAAAACTTTCTCGACAATGGCCCAATCAAACACTTCCTGCACAGGTATAGCACAAGGTTAGATTCAGAGTAAAGCTCCATCTATTCTTTTAAAATGAAAGTAAACATACCTGTGCTCTTTTAAACTGAAAGTAAAGCTCTCTGTACTGTTTGAAACTGAAAGTAAAGCTCACCGTCCCCTCAAATGCTCCCAGGACAGAGAAAGCATGACGTTTAAAATAAAGTTTCCTCGATACTGTCCATATCGAACACTCCTACGACAGGTATACAACTGGTTTAAGGGGATTCTCCACTGATTTCTGGCAAATATGTATCCTTTAATCAACTAAGAGTAGGTAATTTGGTTGGTATCAAATTTCTGTTTGTCGGTGGCATACAGCATAGAACATAGAACATTACAGCGCAGTACAGGCCCTTTGGCCCTCGATGTTGCGCCAACCTGTGAAACCAATCTGAAGCCCATCTAACCTGAACTATTCCATTATCATCCATATGTTTATCCAATGACCATTTAAACGCGCTTAAAGTTGGCGAGTCTACTACTTTTGCAGGCAGGGCATTCCAAGCCCTTATTACTCTCTGAGTAAAGAACCTACCTCTGACATCTGTCCTATATCTATCACCCCTCAATTTAAAGCTATGTCCCCTCATGCTAGCCACCACCATCCAAGGAAAAAGGCTCCCGCTGTCCACCCTATCTAATCCTCTGATCATCTTGTATGTCTCTATTAAGTCACCTCTTAACCTTCTTCTCTCTAACGAAAACAGCCTCAAGTCCCTCAGCCTTTCCTCACAAGACCTTCCCTCCATACCAGGCAACATCCTGGTAAATCTCCTCTGCACCCTTTCCAATGCTTCCACATCCTTCCTATAATGCGGTGACCAGAACTGTACGCAATACTCCAAGTGCGGCTGCACCAGAGTTTTGTACAGCTGCAATCCCTCTACCAATAAAACCTAACACACCGTACGCCTTCTTAACAACGCTATCAACCTGGGTGGCAACTTTCAGTGATCTATGCACATGGACACCGAGATCTCTCTGCTCATCCACACTACCAAGAATCTTACCATTAGCCCAGTACTCTGTATTCCTGTTACTCCTTCCAAAGTGAATCAAAGTGAAAACCAAAGACCTGCAGATATCAGAAACAAAATCAGAAATTGCTGGAGAAACTCAGCAGGTCCGGCAGTGCCTATAGAAAGAAAGCAGAGTTAACGTTTCAGGTACAGTGACCTTTCTGAAGAAGGCAATTTCTGATTCTGTTAGTAGGAACCTGTTGTGTTCAAACTGATTGCTGTACTTCCTACATTGTAACAGTGATTACATATCAAAATGTTTACTTGGCTATAATTGCTTTGGATGTCAATAAAGGTGCTATTTAATAGAATAACTTTATTTCCAAGTCTATCTCAAGTGTTAGGAAGGAAGGGTTATTACTTCAATGCTCCATCATTAAGGCTGGGACACACAGATTGTTGATCTCTTACGGAATCAAGGAATTTGGGGAGAGGAAGGGAAAATGCAATTGAAGCTGAAGATCAGTCATTGTTATATTTAATGACAGAGCGGGCTCAATAGGCTATTTTGTCTACACCTGCTCCCACTTCTTAATTCTTTGTGTTTTAAGATAGGCCTGTTCTCACCTGATCAAAGGCTTGTTCAGTGGAGTCATGCAGCCTCTCGAGAAATTTCTCATTAACCTCTATGAGTTCCTGTATGTTACTGAAGATCACTGCTAGCTGATCTGGGGTCAGGAGTCCAGCCGCCTGCATGGGGAGGTAAAATTCCTCCTTGATGATGCGTAGGTCCTCCCCATAGCTGGATTCTGTGTTGACAAATTCCAAGATGGCCTCCTTACGCTCAGTCCTGCGCTTTGCACACTGTCCACAGAGGTTCTCCCGTATCTTCATGGCATCCCTCAGGTCTGTTTCTGAGGTGTCTCTCTCTCCGCAGTCGACACAGGGTCGATGGACAACCCAGGCCTGCACTGAGCGCGCCGTCTCCCCCACCCGACTTTTCCATTTCTTGGCCATAGCTGGCCCAATACCGCTGTCCGCTCTCTCTACTTCTGCTGTTTTGCCCTTCCTTGCCCGCTCGTCCTCTTCTTCCTCCCTCTCTTCACTCCTGTCATTCAGTCCAACCACACCACTGTCTGTGCTGAGGCTACTCCAGCGATGCTTTGATCTGTTGTCAGAGCCAGCTCCCTGGTAACCGTCTCTTGGCTTTGAGCTGGAAGAGGATTCAGCCAGTCTGCTGGATTGGTTGGAAAACGGATCTGTGTATCGGACATCATGAAATCACAACCGTTAATACATTGCTTGGAGCTGAGAAGTGCACGCTACTCTGTTCATTGACAGCGTGGTACCAATGCTGGAGAAACCAACACAATGGCATAAGGTAGTAACACACCATGTCAGGGGACAGTAACACAGTGCTAGGGGATAGTAATGCACATGGTCAGGGGACATTAACACACAATGTCAGGGATACTAACATACAGTAACAGGGGACAGCACAAGACAGTGACGGGGCAGTGATACAATGATACAGGGGATAGAAACACATAGTCGGGGTATTAAAATGCAGTATCAGGTATTATTAACACACAGTGTCAGGGGATGGTAACACACGCCATTGGGGATTGTAACACAGAAGCAATGCACACCACTGGAGATGGTAACACATAGGGGCAGCAACACACACTGTCAGAGGGTATAAAACAGAGTGTCGGAGACAGTAACACGCACCGTCAGCAGATAGCAACACACCGTCATGGAAATGAGCACACATTGTGGGATATTAACTCATATGGTTATGAGATATTAAGATGTACTGTTATGGCATACTAACATACATGGTCATTGCAACAGTAACACACACTGTCAGGAGGTGTTAACGCACACCATCATTGGATATTATGAGACGGTATTACAGAATAACACCACCAATCATTATTGGGGTAAAACTATGTGATATTGTAAAGTAATAAATGTGAATACTTCAGAAATTACTGCGGGTTAAATTATAACTAAATACCCAGGGGATAGCTTTACCAGTAAGTACTCATTATTCACAGTAATTACTCCGATTTCCATAGTCTCTCAAAATCAGTTAAGATTTCTTTCAATATTTCACTTCCATCAATCTCTAGACTTTACAAGGATAAGAGGACGGACAAGACTCAGAACACATCCATAGATCCACTTGCAAGAGTTCTCCTTGCACCAGGCAATCTCTGATACATAGATATTAAGAGCAGGAGTAGCCATTCAGCCTCGCCAGCCTGCTCCACCATTCAATATGATCATGGCTGATGTTTGCATCAATTCCACATTCTTGACACGTCCCATACCCTCGGATTCCTCCAGTGCCCAACAATCTATCAATGACAGTCTGTGTATCAGTCAATGACTGACCTCCTTTAGGGAAGGAAATCTGCTGTCATTATCTGGTCTAGCTTTATGTGTAACTCCAGATCCATGGCAATGTGGTTGACTCACCTGCCCTCTGAAATGGCTTAGCAAGGCACTGAGTTCACGGACAATTAAGGCAAAAAAATGCTGGCTTTGCTAACAATGCCCAAATCCTGTGAAAGAATGAAGGAGAAAAGGTGCTGCACAGTGTTACACAACCCCCAGGGTAAAGAATACCACAAGTTGCAAGTCACCATAGAGGGCAACAGGCTGCTTTCTCATTCAAAAGAGATGACTGGTGGTGAACTCAACTTCAGGGTAACCATACCTTTGACAAGGCCTTCAAGCAGGCCACTGGTGACTTATATTATTAAACAAAATAACTTTGTTTCATTTTTTCATAGGATTTTGGCCAGCATTTCTTGTCCATCCCTAACTGCCTTTAAACTGAGTGTTTCGCTAGGCCGAACAAGGGGCAGTCAAATTGCTGTGGGTTTGAAGTCACATGCAGGCCAGTGAATCAGCTTTCAATTCCCATTTTTGATGAGGTGAGTTGAAATTCCACAAGCTACCACTGGTGGGATTTAAACTCATTTCCTCAGAGCATTATCCTGGGCCTCTGGATGGTGATGCATCTGGTCCAGTGACATGATTGTCTTCCCACCAAGGGAGCTAATGATACAAGCAAAGGAATAAAAGGTGGATCTACTGCATGTAAACAAATTCTTCCCGCTATTTGTTCTGAAGCAGAGCTCGATACCACCACTTCCCACTCATGCGGGATGAACGCTAATTGAGCTACCCAATATCTGGAATTCCAACAGCAGGTGTTTTACTCACTCCCACTGCTGCTGTCCTTGTCTTGGCGTCTCTTCTGGCCAAGGCCCCAAGCGGCAGCTGCTATCCTCATCTCCAACTGCTTCCGCTTGACTGCATCGGCTGGCATGGGGTCGCTGAAATGGGGTCGCAGGCGGCATTCACGTTGGGCCTTGGCACTCTCCGTCGTCCCATAGGCTGCGTCAGAGCTTGACCTCCGACATCCAGGGAGCGAATGCTGGGGAAGAGAGGGAAAGAAATGTCAGGGAGAGTGTGAAAAAAACATAGAATTGACCCATTCTTCTCTGGCATTTGATAATGAAGGGGCGCTGTACCATAGTCAATGGGAGGAGAGACTGTTTGGGGGCTTTTGATGCAATTTGGAAACTCCCCCATGGGTTAATAGCCAGCAGGGTGGTCTGCTCATTGGGCAAGTCACAATCATTTTCTTTTCTTTCATGGGATGTGCACCACTGGCAAGCCCAGCGTTCATCGTCCGTCCCATAATGCCCTGGAAGTGAGAGGCCTTCTCAGTCATTTCTGAGGGCAGTTAAGAGTCCACCACATTTCTTTGGGTCTGGAGTCACATGTAGGCCAGGCCAGGTAAGGCCAACTGATTTCCTTCCCCAAAGGATACTGATGAACCAGATGGGATTTTTAAACAATCAATGATCGTTTCACGACCATCATCACCGTGACTAGCTTTCAATTCTACATTTATGAACTGAATTTAAATACACCAGTGACCAGGGTGGGATCCCTCTCATCACATTCCCAGGCAATGGGAGCCATGATTTTCTTGTCCTTCCCCCCTCTACCATTCCATATCATCTCTGGATCCAACCTTTGTTTCTTGTCTTGCCTCATTACCATGCTTTATTTGCAGGCACCATCTACCCTTCCATCAATTCATCACACTGTCTTCCATCTGACTGCGGACCATCACTCTGCCCTTTCCTCTCCCTCTCTTCCGATGCCCTGTGGCTCTAGACTTGATTAGAAATTGTTAAATCTTTTACATCTTCCAGTACTAATGCAAGGTCATCGACCTGAATTGTGAACTCTTTCGCTTTTCCAAAAATGCTACCGACTTGCTGAGGATTTCAAGACCTCTGCTGCCACGTTTTACTTGAGTCTTGTAATCCCATCATTCTAAATCTCCAGAGATAGTAGGAACTGCCGATGCTGGAGAATCTGAGATAACAAGGTGTAAAGCTGGATGAACACAGCAGGCCAAGCAGCATCAGAGGAGACGTTTCGGGTCTGGACCCCTCTTCAGAAATGAAGAAGAAGGGTCCGAAGAAGGGTCCAGACCCGAAACGTCAGCTTTCCTGCTCCTCTGATGCTGCTTGACCTGCTGTGTTCATCCAGCTCTACACCTTGTTATCTCTTATTCTAAATCTCCAGATGGGTTGTACCTGTCCTATTTCCTGCAGTACTGCTCGTGCGCCTTCTCTCCCCCAGCACCTTGATGAGGTTCCCCTTGTTCTCACCTTCCTCTCCTCCAGCTTCTGTAGTCAATGGTGATGTTGCCACCGAACTCATCTCGCCCTCCTCTATTAGCATTTGAAAGGAACCATTCCCTGCATAAAAGCCTGGTCCACTCCTCAGCTTTTCCCCCTCAACCCTCCCCCTTCCCAAAGCATCTTCTCACACAAGTGCAAGGAATTCCACACCACCTCTTTCACCTCCATGATCCCCTGCTGTCCATGGCCCCTAAAATGCCATCCAATTTAAATTTCTTCTTTGATTTAGAATCATAGAAACCCCTATGGTATGGAAACAGGCCCTTCAGCCCAACAAGTCCACACCAACCCTCAGAGCATCCCATCCGGACCCATCCCCCTATAACCCACCTGATCTGCACATCCCTGAACACTACAGGCAATTTAGCATGGCCAATCCACCCTAACCTGTACATCTTTGGACTGTGGGAGGAAACCAGAGCACCCGGAGGAAACCCACACAGACACGGGGAGAATGTGCAAACTCCACACAGACAGTCGCCTGAGGCTGGAATCAAACCTGGGTCCCTGGTTCTGTGAGGCAGCAGTGCTAACCACTGAGCCACCGTGCTGCCCACAATTTGGTACTTTCTCTGCTCCCAGTGCCATCCCTTCCACAGATGGGGGACTCAGTGCAGATTGACTGCTTGCATTTAGACTTCAAGTGTGATCTTGAGCCATTAGTCGCCTGTTATTTTAATTCTTTGTCCCATGCTCAATACGACCTCTCTGTCCTCAGCCTGCTGCACTCTTCCAATGAAGCTCAGAGAAAGCGGCAATGAGGAGCAGCGTCTTGTCTTTATTCAGGAGCAACACCGAAATCAACAGTTTCAGTTCATAACAAGTGGCTTCATTTTCTCTGAAAGCCGCTGTTAATAAGTATTTTTTCACACGTCACTACCTTTTTGCCTTGTACTATCATCTCTTCTTTCATTCAATCTGTTCTGCCTTTCACCATATCCCCTTAACCTTTCCTTTCTCCCTCCTCCACCTTTTCCCTATCTCTGCAGTTGTTTAAAATATGTCACATTTCTAACTTCTAAACATAATAAAAGGTCATTGATCTGAAACATTAGCTCTGTTTTTATCTCTCCAGAGATGCTGCCTGACCCATTCCTAGTACTTTCTGTTTTTATTTCAGATTACCAACATCCACAGAATTTTACTTTGTTATAAGCATAAACCATCTAAAGCCCTTCTGGTTAGATTCCAGTGTGTAACTTACTCCTTGCTGTATAATCCACCCAACCTCTCGATTACAGTCCACTTACCAACTGTCTCCCTGCTGTACAAATGACCCCAACTTCTCAATTAGATTGCAGTCTATAACTCACTCCTTGCTGTATAAACCACCCTAACCTGTCGATTAGATTCCAGCTTGCAATTTGCTCCCAGATATCCATTATTCTGTACATAAACCATTGATTAGATTCCAGCTTGCCACTCACTGCTTGCTGTCCAGCATTCTTTTGAGAAACCACCTAAACCTCTCGATTAGATTCCAACTTGTACATTATCCTGGTGATCCATCATTCTATTATACTTCTTTGGGTTGTCTCTCAAAGTGAGAAGGACATTTGCAACAGAGTACAATCTAGAGGGGAGCCTTTTAGCATGGGGAGGCTGTTGCATTGTAGTTAACCCAAGTGGGGTTCTGGCTGACCAGCAGACTCTCACACCCTTACTGTCTGTCATCGGGCATACTGGAAGGAGTAGCAGCCTATTCATTGACCTGATGTGATCATGCCCACACTTTCCATGGCTATCGAGTCTCAGGCTGGGACTTGAACCCAGAACTTCTGGCTAAGTGGTAGAGATGATACCCAGTGCCCCATGAGACCATCTCTATTACTCTGCATATAAGCCATCTAAACCCCTGGATTAGGTTCAAATCTGTAACTCACTCCTTGCTATCCGTTATTCTACACAAAAACCACCCAAACCTCTTGATTAGATTCCAGCTTGTAATGCACTCCTGGGTATCCAGTATTCAATGTGTAAACCATCCAAATCTCTTGATGCAGTTTTCCTTACCACATGTCTGGGCCTGTTGTAAACTAATTGATAGAGATTGATTGCTAGATTAGCCAACAACTCTATTTGCATTGTTTTATATGACTATCAGGATGGCCGAAGACATACTCAATAAACTGTGGTCTGTCCTCATCTTAGCAATTCCCTATGACGCTGCGCTCCCACTGTTGTCTCTCTCAAGGGCTCATCAATAACATTATGTGTCAAGTTGCCACACAACTGACATCCAAGCAGATAGTGTTGGTTCAGGCTGCAATTAGTCCCCACCATCAAGCTTTCCCTGCCTCGTTCCCCTGCCGGCGAGGGTAAATCATCGGGGCAGCCGACTGTGAGTGTTCTCGACTCGCAGCCTAAAGCAATAATGCAGCAACTTATTTACACAATCTGTCTGCCGACGAACACCAGCAGGTTTCCGATCGCCTTCTGCGCCGCAGTCTGGGGTCGCCGTGGAAACCGGGCTTGATTGATTGTCCTGTTTCCCTACGGTGATGTCACCCAGCTCCTGGAGATGGGCTGATGGTCCAGCCGCAGTTTCTGCAGTGCAGCTGTTAAAGGAAGCAGAACGCATTGATCAAAACAAAGTCCCACATTGCAGCCTTTTAGAACACTAGCCGCGTAGGCATTCCCATTCCAGACTCACACGCAGCCTGTTAAAAGCTCGCGGTGATACTTCTAATTACTGGGGATTTTGGTTCCAGCTCGAATTAATTAAAGAGAAAAGTCTTGCTTTGCTACAGCACCTTGTATGGATGTCCCATACTGCTCCATGGCCACTTCTGAAGCATAATGCCAGTTGTAATGTACAGAAATATGGTAGCCAATATATGCACAGTAAACTCCCACAAACAACATTGCTATGACCAAATTGTTTTGTTTTATTGAGGATGAATGAGGGATAAACATGGCTGGAAGGCTTGAAAAAATTGTTCTGCCCTTCTTCAAAATACTGCCAGGTGATCTTTTGCCTTCACCTGAAAGGGTAGGTAGGGCCTCAGATGACATCTCATGCAGCATTCCCTCCATGCTGACATTGCACGCCCCATGGATTTTATGCTCGTGTCTCTGGACTGGGATTTGAACTCACAACTTGCTGACATGGCAGAACATTGGATATCAGGATTGACTGCTCTGAAGAAGGGTCACAGGACCCAAAATGTTAACTCTGATTACTCTCCGCGCATTACCAGATCTGCTGAGTTTGCCCAGCAATTTCTGTTTTTGGTTTTGATTAGGGTTGTACAGCCTGGTTGTAAAGATAGAATGGCTGTTAGATGAATTGCTGCCAGTGAAGAATCTGAGGAAAACATGGATTGAAGGCCCTTATTACCTAAGTTTTAGCTATTACAATATGGAGACAGGTTGCTCGGCTCTACTGGTCCAATTTTGGTCTCATCCTTTGCATGAGTAATGGTCCTGGCCAGCACAATGTGTTTGCTGTATTTCCTCATCTCTGTACCTCCCTTATCGTTAAATCATCTAACTAACTCTTCAATGTTGATTCCGTCTTCGCTTCAATCACTCATTTTGGCACTAAGCTTATTTTTAAAATATCACCCTGTACTTAACCTTTTACATTTAAACTCATATCTATTTCTCTTTACTCTAAGTTCCCTAATCATTTTAAATGCCGCATGCACACCAGAAGCTTTAGAAGATGACCCACTGCTACCCTCTCATGGAAAATTAGGGATAAGCAATAAATCCCACAATGCCCATTTCACACATGGGAATGATTTTTTAAAAATTGTATTTTTTATTGCACTGTCCAACCCTTTACTTGCATTTCTTCTCCCTGTTACTTCAGGAAAGTCTTTAATCACTTGTAATAGATGAGTGTATGCCTTAAATAGCAGACAGAGGAATGTATTAATGAATTTCACGTCTGTTCCCATTCCTCAAGGTCATTTATTCGAAACCCAAGGATAATCTTAATTCGTCAATAGCCCCTCACCCCATATCCACCCTCTGAGGCTCAGGGGCCAGAAACTGTGCCTATCTAACACTGAATCAAACGGCCACACAATAGCAACATAATAGCCAGCGATGACTCCTGGTTACAAAAATCAGCACTTTCTCAGATAGAAAGACCTGGATTTATGAGATTGTTTTTCACGTATGAATTCAGATACTGAGGCCCCCGTTACTGCTTTTCTCCCATACAGTACGGAAACAGACCCTTCGGTCCGACACATCCACACCGACCAGACATCTCAGTCTGACCTAATCCCATTTGCCAGCATTTGGCCCAAATACCTCTAAACCCTTCCTATTCATCTACCCATCCAGATGCCTTTTAAATGTTGTAATTGTACAAGCCAGTGGAGGCAATGGCCTAGTGGTATTATCGCTGGACTGTTAATCCAGAGACCCAGGTAACATTCTGGGGACCTGGGTTCAAATCCCACCACGGCAGGTGGTGAAATTTGAATTCAATAAAATAAATGGAATTAAGAATCTAATGATGACTGTGAGTCTGTTGTCAATTGTTGGGAAAAACCCACCTGGTTCACTAATGTCCTTTAGGGAAGGAAACTGCCATCCTTACCTGGTCTGGCCTACATGTGACTCCAGACCCACAGCAATGTGGATGACTCTGGGCATTTAGGGATGGGCAATAAATGCTGCCAAGCCAGTGACATCCTCATCCTGTTAATGAATAAAGGAAAAAAAAAGCCTCCGCCACTTGTTTCACACACACACCACCTCTGTGTGAAAAAGTTGCCCCTCAGGTCCTTTTTAAATCTTTCCCCCCTCACCTTAAACCTATGTCCTCTAGGTTTGGGCTCACCTACCCTGGGTAAAAGACTTCTCCATGTGGTATCAGTAAATTAGACTAATGCCAATAAGGAAGATTAGTAATAGTGAATCTACCCAAGCATCTTAGATGGTTCTGGTGACCACAGTATATACCATGCTGAGGGATGTGCGGATTTGGCAAAATATATATCAGAAACATTCTCTTTATGTCTACCCTATCAAAGCCTTTTAGAATCTTAAGGGCTGCTATCAGATCCGCCCTCAGGCTTCCCTGTTCCAGCAACAATCGCCCCAGCCAGTCAGTCTAATATTGTCCTTCTAAATCTTATTTGCACCTTATTGACTGCTTTTCTGCCAAGGGCATTGAAAATGTTATTCGATGCTACAAAGTGATAGTGGTGGTTAATTACTCCTACCGGTGGAACCACCACATCCTGGATCTAACCATCAAAATCCACACATCCAACATTAGAATTAGAGTTAGAATTAGCCTTTACTGTCACATATACTCAATGAAAGAGCAATATTTGTCACCCAGGACAAGCATTTTCCCTGCGCTGATTCCAAATCCCCATTAATAAAAGAGAGAGAGAGAGAACAAAAGAGAAGTATGGCACAGGAACAGCCAAGGCCCCCCAAGCCTGTGCCAATTATCATGCCCTTACTAAACTAAAAAACAAACTTTCTGCCCTTATTCAGAGTCTGTATCCCTCTAATCCCTCTCTATGTTGGGGGCTGTTCTTTAGCAGGTTAAGGATCATGTTCCAACATATATTCATTAATGGGGTGTCGGCATAGCTGGCAGGAATAGCATTTGCTGCCCATTCTTAATTGCCCTTGAACTGAGTGGCTCACTAGGGTCACTTTAAAGGACGGTTAGAGTCAACCACATTACTGTAGGCTACAGGACGGGTGACTGGACCCAAACATTAACTCTGATTTCTCTGCACAGATGCTGCCAGATCTACTGAGCTTTACCAGCAATTTCTGTTTTTGTCTCTGCTTTCCAGCATCCACATTTCTTTCGGTTTTTACTGTTGGCCAGACCAAGTAAAAGTGGCAGATTTCCTTCCTTAAAGAACACCAATCTCTTGGTCACCATCGCTGGGACTAACTTTATATTCCAGATTTTATTAATCAAATTTAAGTACCACCTTCTGCTTTGATGGGGCTTGAATCCCAGTCCCCAGAGCATTAACTGGACCTTTGAAAAACTGGATCACAGACATTATGATAATACCAACATATCCCTGATTTTAAACCTCACTGCCAAACCTTTCTGCCTCTTAACCTCTTTCTTTAAAATTCTCCTTTCACAAGACTTTTCATCACCTGTCCTAATATCTCCTAATGTGTCTCAGTGTCAAATCTTTCCACATGAGGTGTGTGTGTGTGTGTGTGTGTGTGCGTTTGTATGTGTGTGTGTGTGTGTGCAGTGCATATGTGTGGGTGTGTGGGTGTGTGTATATGTGTGCGCATTGCGTATGTGTGTGTTTGAGTGCGTATGTGTTTGTGTGTGTTCGTGTGTGTGTGTGTGTGCATGTGTGTGTGCATATATGTTTGTGTGTGTGTGTGAGTGAGTGTGTGTATGTGTGGGTGGGAGTGTGTGTGTGTGTTTGTGTGTGTGTGCATGTGTGTGGTGTGTGTGTGCGCGTGTG